CCTTTTTAGGAGAAAACATACAATATCAGTTTTGAAAACAATACACTTTATACAAATCACCAGATAGATTCACTACCGTCAGAGTGACTTTGCTTTAGCACACTTCTATCATCATCTCAGTTCTTGGAATCCATCTACGAGAGGAAAACATATTATCTTTAGCCTTGTATCGTTTGAATATGTTTGGCTTGTGGCGATCCATGGGCACCATTATTACCACTTATGGCACTACCCTCCGTTCCAGTATGCGCATCACACATTATATCTTTTTTTCTGCCCTAAATTGTGAAAAATTCTGCCAGCGACGTATTCATCGAAGATTGATTTGAATGATTTATGAGCTTCTGGCTAAAAATTTCAATTTTAATAAAATGTTCCCAGTATCGTCTTCTCTTGGTCGGAAACAAGCCAAGTCATACGACGGATGCGGTGGTCAACTTGTAAAGTGGCAGAACGAACCAATCACTGTTCGTTGTTGCATTCAGGAGCCATCATGCTATGCTTCAGTCACCGCAATGCAGACTGGGGCTGTGGGATTTACTCAGCTTTGGGAGGCTGCAGAGTTTCCGAGCCTTCCGCTATTGTTGTAGAATGATTAATTGATTAGTTTGCACTCATTTTCGATTCAGCAAACATTGGAAACATTGGAAAGTGGCACTTGCTGATGGTTGGGGGATTTAATGATGACATAAATCACTAGTCACTGCTCCATTTTGGTAGTAGTTGTTGGTATTTCTCTATCATTCATTTGTGAGTGCTATGAGTACTGGGGTAATCAAAATTATCCAATTTTCTTAAACAGTAGGATGTATCCACTTATCCGAAACATAGGTGGGAAATTGTCTTAAACCTCTTGAAGGAAGAATTGAGCAAAAATTAATTAAAACGTGCGTGCCATTTGTAATTCGTTTTTGTGGCATTTGTGAGTTTTTATTAAAGTAAAGGGAGAGAAATATGTAATTTTCAGCGATATATAAGCGCACAAGATGTTAACGATAGATTTAGCGTAAATTGATACGATATTTTATGTAAATTAAAGCGCAATTTTGCATAAACCAGCAGTGTTACATGCAAGCTAGTAAACAATGTGGTTGTTTATACCGAATTTCGGTTAAAACTAAACGAGGGGACATTTTACGAAATGCTTAAAATGTCAATGCATTCTGGAGAAATTTTCATACCTTACCAGCCTTTATAATTTATTCAAATGCTCTTCAGACTCGTTCTCAAAATTCCCCACCTGAAGTCTCCAAGACATGTTCATAATGTCCACCTCTTTCTCACTCCAAAGGGCCTGGGTTCAATCCCAGTCGGTGCCGTCGGGATTTTCTGAGGCATAACAAATCCATTGGTCCATGAGTTGATGGGTCGATAGGTAGGGTTCTGATGTGAGAGCTGCCTCCTTGGCGTTGGTAGCATTGATACCCAATACGGAAAACAAGATCGACGGAAAAATTCTATGATCAAATGTCCCGAAGAAATTTTTTTAATTTTATTAGCATCAACCCGTGATTTCTTGACGTTGCTTGTCGGCAGGAAAATATGAAATGAAAACTAATTTGTTAGTGAGGCATCATTGGGTGTTATTGAGAAAAAACTCGGATAAATATAATATATTAAATCATTTGTAATCATCTAACTTTGTTTTGATCGAAGTTTTAAAATTTTATGTACCTAATACATTTTCCGAAATCTTGGGTTGACATATGCAAAAGTCATTATTACGGATCTCATGACAGCTCTGGGAATATCCATACACCAAAAAAAAACTAACTTGTTATGTAAACATTAATGCACGTAAACTTCCTTTTCACGTAAACCATCAACTTGCAAGAAATGTTGCGTGCAAAGATGGATGGTTGCATGCAATATATGGAAAATCTCATGACATGTCTTATAAACTAACATGATCTATAATGTAATATTGTATGATATATGACGCTCCATTGATGTGCATCATAGTAACAGAAATTTACACTACTTAGCGAACTGTGTAGATAATGTAGTTGGGTCCGATCTGATCGTCCATAGTTCAAGTGATGAGGCAATCAAACATCGTTAGTTTCCTAATGACTGTGCTATAACTGGACTTTCGTAGAACAACATTCCAGTTTTTTTTTTTGTTGCCAATCGCGAAAGCGTTAGTACGGAACATGCCAAAAACGGAACTTTCCCAAATTGGAACGTGCCAACAACGGAACACTATTGTATTGATAAAAAATGTAATGGAAAACGATCCATTCCATCAGGAAAAATCCAAAGGGGAGCTAAATTTATCTTTCGAATTTCTCAATTAGGCCATTTAGCGATCAAAAGTAACAACGCTAGTGGGAGCTACATTAATCCTAGAGAGCTGTGATCCCCCTTGACCCCCATATTTACGCCAATGAAAAAATCGGAAATACAACTTTTTACCCAAAGTAAACTCGATATTATACTATTGAGGAGTTGTATAAAAATACCGATAAAATTAGTTACGGTAAAATCGGCAAACAGCCTTAAACGAATCGCTCGTGTGAAGTTTTGGGCTAGTTACTTCATAAATGCTCCTGAAACATTGTTCGTGCATGAAAATTATTAATTTCCATCAAACTGCATTCGACTGGATGTAAAGGGGTGTTTAGTTGATAATTTTTGAACGAAAGGATATTTTATGCGATGGTTAAAATTCAGAATATTTTTCTGTTGTAGATAAGAATAATATCCTATCGAGCTTCGAACATCAAAAGAATTATATAATGAATAACAATATTTATTACAATACACGCACTCTCTCTTACCTGGTTCCTGACGGAAGGAAGAAAACGAATTGATAAAATGCCAATGATGTTTGCTTTATTGCCTTATTGCCTGCGACATCAATCAGAAGAATACCTGCTTCATACTACGCAGTAAATTGACGTGAGGCAAAGATGGTCCATCCATCCGGCGGGTGCTTTGTCATGCATGAAGTTGAGGCTGTCGTTTTTGAATTTCTTCCGTTGTTTTATTCGTCTCGACAGGATGTTTCTTCTTTGGCGATCAATTTGATTTATTACATGACGAATGTGAGGGGGCACTCCATATTCGTTCCGATAAATTATACATCCATCTTGATGTGGTTCCAGATACTTCAAGATTGTTTCCTTATGCCATCATTTTCAGTACTGTACCGTCCATCAAAACCAAATTTATTCATGGCATTAAAATGAACCTACACGTGACAGGTTATATTTCATACTCATCTTTCTGTCAATGTCAAAAACATTCGCATAGCAGCGCGACCTTGAGTGAAATTAACACATATTTACACTGATCGCTTTGGTAAATTTGTTGATATATCGAAAATTTTACCGCATAATAATATATAATAAATTTCATCAATGTACTACGCTGACCGCGTAAAAAATAACAATTTCGTTTAATCAAATCTACAATAGATTAGTCTGTGAATCATCATAAAATGACCAAATGACTTGTCCATACCCTCTGAGACTGACTCATTGATCATAAAATGCAAACACATTCCCCTCTCGTTATTTATTCAGGGAGACCGTAATATTGAATCCTCAGCAGTCTATACTTACGAACCTTTTTTATAAGCAGACGTCCTAATGGGCCATTTAGATCCATCAACAGACAGTCCAGTTGAAAATTCAATAAAGCTTACCTTTTTTCATCTCCATTTGAATAATACCTGGATGTGCAGCATAAAAAAAAGCTTCGTGGGGAGAACCATTGTCAGTCAGCATGAATGATTTACACAAGTATCGTCTTTAGATTCGTTTTTTTTTTTTTAATATACGCAGTTGTCATTCCAAGTGGGAGTGGAGTGTGGTGAAGATCGACTCCTTTTTATATTTTCTTCAAATTCAAAATGAAACGGCACTGAATGGCATTGAAAGGATCTATTATTATTTTTACAACTGAGTTTCACTTAGTGCTCTTTTGATAAATACGTACACAGATTTGAACTTGTTGAACCGTATACAGACTGCAGGCTTTGAAGCTATTCATAATTGTAATCTTTTGCACTTTTTTTTTGTTCTGTCAAACTACAGATAGCTAACATTCAATCAAATTGAAGCCTTTTGTCAATCAAATTGAAGCTATTTGTCATTTTAGTTTCCTGTTGGATTCATTTGCACTTCATCCAATAATACGACGTATGAATCTAAATTTTACTGTAATGGCGAATATTACATTTTATTGTATTAATTTTACAACAACACTCCGTGGAGCCTTATAAGCATACTGAACTTTACAAACATACTGATTTTGAACAAGCAATGATCGATTGTTCAAGCTTTTTGTGATGAATAACGTATTGTTCGGATATCATAAGGATTTTAAGGATCTTAAACTAAACAAAATTCTCATGTCAGATAATTCTAAAGGTAAGATAGAATTTTTCAACTAGATTTTAATTAGATGATCCATATTTAATCATCAATCAAATCTCAGACATAGGCACCAACACTTAATTCTAGGACTTTTCATTTATAATTAAAAACAATTATGGCTTGGAATTTTTGCACTGTACACATAGGATATAGGAAAAAGTTCAAAATATATGTCAATGAACTATCCTTAAAATTCGGAAGCTTTAAATAATAATAGGTTTGAGATCCCAAGCCCATATGCTTTTCAGATTCTAGTGTTTGATGAAAAAAGAAAATTATAAAGCATTTATCTAGAATTTTTTTCTACACCTCGGACTAGCTAACATCTGAGATCACGGATATAAAATCAAGATTGAAGTACCAAATTTAACTTTATTTCCAATAAAAAGGAATGAATTCCTAACTTGTATGATTGTTCCTCTGTTTGAAGTTAGTCACTATTTGAGTTTTTTTTTTCTACAAAAGCTTATTGGGTTATTTTATTGTTTTTATTTGAAATTGAGTTAGTTTTGGTTGAACCCATTAGGTGCCAATTTATTATTTACTCGCCCTTCATACGGAGAAGAGCTTTATCATTATTTTTATTTTTTATATTATCAATGTTCAATATTCTAAAACATGCACACTATATCGTGCCTTCCTCCACAGTGCTCGGTTTTCTCGGCCGAGGCTGCAGCGATCTTCCGTGCCGCTACGACGCCAGCCAACAAACCGATACTTATATTAACTGACTCACACAGCGTCGTTCAAGCGATCACCTCGGAAGTACCAAAACACCCATGGATAAAGGCGATTATCAAATACGCCCCACCGAACACCGTGTACACATGGATTCCCGGACACTGCGGAGTGCCAGGTAACGAGTCTGCTGATCACCTTGCCGGAGCCGGGACATCGGGTCCCAGACTCACCAACAAGGTACCCCTACAGGACGTCAGACGGTGGATCATGCGGACCATTCGAGCGGCATGGGAAGCTGAGTGGTTCCGCAACAGAACTGCCTTCATCCGCAAAGTAAAAGGGTCAACTAAATCATGGAGAGAACTCGACAACCTGAGGGATCAACGCGTGATTTCGCGGCTTCTAACCGGGCACACCAAACTCTACTATAACTATGGTGGCCTGCCGTTCCGCAGAAGCTGCATCATCTGTGGGGTACCCTACACCGTCGAACACATCCTGTGCAACTGTCCGGAGTTTCAAAATCTTCGGGAGTCACTCTGCCTAACTTCCAGCATCAGCGATCTGCTCGGTAATGATACTTCGGCCTCGGCAGCACTAGTTACCTTCTTAAAAGAAGCCAAAATCTACCACTTGGTATAGCAGGAATTTCTTTCGGCCGTCGGGACATCTCAGCTTGATGGATTTCTCCTATTGGACCCATGCCAGCTGAGCTCTGTTTTGTTTGGATTAATCGTTTGTAGCTTGTCTTAAATCATTTTGTTTTCTGCTGTTCCTTTGTTTCATTATTCTATATATTGTTATTTTTTCATATAATTAATTAATTTAGTTTTATTTAGGAGGCTTTCAGCCTTAAGCTGGTTCGCCTCCAACTTTTTTTTTTTTTTTTTTTTTTTTTTTCATATAAGTTGAAGCCAGCAACCAAAGTTATTAACTAAATATTAATATACCATGTATCTAGAGGTTACTCACTCTGAGCCCTCTTCTTTCTCCGGAGATGAACTAGTCATAGGCTAAAAATCTCCTAAATAAAGAACTAAAAAAAAACTATATTGTGCCTATTCTTGAAAAAAAAAATGTTAAATCACCAGGTTTCCCTATAGAATATGTACTGAAACATGGCCATGAATTCTAGATTCACCATTCAAGATTCCATTAGCTTTTTTAGCTGGAGTACTTTTGAATACTTTCTGATCAACCTGCAGTCTTGAAAGAATATATGAGACACTTCATTTGTATGTTCAAACAGTTGGAGGTCTGCAGAACTTGATCATCCAGAAGTCTTGAAAAAATATCAAAAGAACTTTACGAATATCTTCGTCTGTCTGGAGATCTTTTGAATCTTACCTGCTATTTAGGAAGGATGTCTGAAAGAATATCCTGTAACCTATGCAACGTTCCCTGAACAACTTCAAAACTCTCTTAAGCATTACAAAATTTTCTAAACTTCTACGAAGTTCCCTGAATTTATGCAAATTTTTTATATTTTTTCCATTTCTCTTAATTCTAGGATTACTTCTGAAAAGACCACCAAGTTCATTGGGATTTTTTGAAGTAAGATCTCTGACAAACTGCAATGAAGTTCCTTAAACTGAAGCGAGGATCCCTGAAGATCTTATTAGTTGGCTTAAATATTTTTTTAGATCTTCTACAAAATTCCCTGCACTTATATGAAGTTATATCCAGCTTCTCAAAAGGGATTTCTTGAACTTGTTTGTACGTAATGCTTTGAACTATTCCAAGCTCATGAGAAAAATATCCTGAAATTATATGGAGATCCCCGAACAATAATGAGATTCCCTGAAATTAAATAACGTTTGACATCTACGAAGATCCCAAAACTTAAATAGAGTTCCCACTTCTATACATTTTGCTGACATTTTCCAAATCGCCCTGAGTTTCTATATTTTTTCTGAAGCTCTGTTAAGTTCCTTGTTTTGTTAATTTCTACGATGTTCTCTGAACTTCTTAGAAGTCCTTGAAGTTTTACGAAGTTTCCTGAGGTTAAAGAAAATTCCCTGAACTCTTGGCCAATTGAAAGATCCTGAAGACGTCTTTTTATGCTAACGATTAAATGTCGATGTAATATAATTTCTCGATATTGTTTCTTCTAGTCTTGAACATTTTGAAAAGTAGACATTTATAAAAATCAATAAAAATAAAAAGTAACTTCAAAACTGCTTGACAAAATAACGGTGTATAAAAAAACACCAAAAATTCCTGGGGGGCCTGCATAATTCTGGAGGTGCCTGGCCCCCTTGGCACCCCCATTAGCTACGCCAGTTGTAAAGGGGACGCTCTACCCGCTTCGTACGTTCCTCAAAATTGACCATTGCTCGCATTCTACTTTCTATATACAATATTCACACTGCCGCAATTTAACGGAACTATCAAGCCTATACTTGCATCACCTCAACTATCGCATAAAATGTCCACTGAAGTCTGATATTTACGTTAAGCATCTCCAACTATGTAAAAAAGATATTCTCGTTGAATTACTGTTCTTGGTGTCTCAGTATTGACTACTTTCCCCAATTAGATTTATAATTTGTCATCAGTAAGCTATAGCATTAATTTTGGTTAAAGTTCGACTCTAACCCTAAATATATGTAAACTTACATAATTTATTTATTCTAAAAAAAAAGCACATAATTGTAGCAGGATGTGTAAACAACGCCATCCAAATCGCGGTTCGGTGTCAGTTAATGTGAAACCGTTATTTTCGCGTAGACTTCGTTGTTCACGATGTTCTGATAATATCTGCGTAAAAGCGTGTGGTTTAATTCTATCTTGCACATCGTCATGGAACATTTCAAGATTTACAATGAAAAGTTTTCTTAAAATCTGACCCATCCTAGCACTGCACCGTGAAAAAATCTCTAAGACAATATAAGCAGGTGAACGTTTGAGAATAGTCCAATACGCTATTCCGTGTACAAAGTTGACTGTTGAAACGTTGTGGAATATGCCTAAAACTTTTTAACGGCTCATAATGCACTTTTACAATGCTCGACAACAAACGATTCCCAACACTCTATGATCACATTAACCTAAACATTGTTGAGATTGTTCATAAATCACTGTTAAGACCACATATTTCTCACATGCACGAGTTACACCTCTCCTATGAGCTTTCAGCGTCATCGTCGAAACCGAAACTCACCCAACAGTTTCGTTACATCCACACTGAAGCTAAGAAAATTTATCACATAACTGGGTAAACTTTTCCTTGTTCGCATAAATTACTGTCCCAGGCGAGTGAAACTCGTCACATCGTCTTGTACCGTTCATTGCATGAAAGCCTGGTGTGTTCGAGTAAAACTTTTCCCATTCATGCTAAATATTTGATCAATCGCACGGCCACTTTCGCTGCATCACCATTTTATTGCGCTTCTTCAGCATGTAGCGTAGAATCCCGAGAGGAGAATCAAACTCGATCCAATTACTTTAATTAGCTTTCATGTAGTTTCAAAATTTGAGAATCGTCTTTGGAATACATTCTAATCATTCCGTATGAGCAAGTTTGAGATTCTTCGTGGGTATCCTCACACCTTGACTGGGTAGATTTGTATTGATCTTCAAAATCTACTCGTTAGTTGTTCATTTGTGAAGTGGAAAACATAATCAAACCTTTAACGGTATCGACATCTATAACTCATTTTCCGTTGCAACAATCAGTTTAGCAACCAATTTTTTTTTAATGGCACATTAAATTTAATGGTTCTGCCTTTTACGATTGAGTCGTTGACCCATACATGACAGGGCCCTTATTTTGCTTGCCCAGGATATATATTATGAGACAGTCTCCATTTTATAGCCATGAGAGAATCATAATTGATTGAAAATCATCTTCATGTCTTAATTCTTCTTTGTTTATAAATTTCCTGCTGACACTTATGAATGACTCCACGTATTTGCTCTCTATGAATTTATCCTTTTTATTATGGAAAGGCAATAACATTTCCAATCCTAAAATATCCTTGATTAACAGTAGGGGACGGATTTCCATGATAATCCGTTGACCAGTTAATGTATTCTTCACTAACTTTTAATAAGCCCAATTAGAAAATACCTGAAATGTTTTTGACACATTCAGGTTTGTTTACTTATGATTAATGTCTATTGGTTGTTTTCACTGGTTGAGGCTTTTGTTAAGGTATGCGGGAATTTGTGTATTTTGAACTGTTAATGTAAGAAGTGCTTTCTGTTCTTAGTACGTATGGTTAATGTTGACTTTACCTACAAGTATTCACTTCCATGCGAATGAATACATTAAGTCCTTTTTGAATAGGTCGTGTGTTCTCATGTCTATTAAATAATCGATTACCTTGATTCGAGTTCTACCGCGAAGATTTACAGTATTAATGCATACAATCAAAAGTTCAAAGGTTGAATTAAAGCCTGTAAAGGGTGTATTCGTTAAAATGGCACACACATATTTATTCATCAAAATTAAACCGATTGTAGGATTTTCTTGAAAATTTGGGGGAATTAAAAACTAATGAAAAAAAGTCATCCCTCATCTCGAATGCCCGCATCTTCCTTTTCACTCCACCCATAAAATTTTGTAAACCCGATTTTCCCAGTGTTCTTGTTGTTTTGACCCAAATTTTCTTGAACTATTGCTATGTTTTAAAAGTTTTGAGATGCTTGCGAAGTTCCGTCTTCATAAGGCCGGAACAAATCTCAAGTTTAAAGTGGGCCCAGCCCACCATAGTCGCTAGATTTTTGCATTCGATCTAAATTTCTTAACTTACAAACCTGCTGCAATGATATTAAATTATTCAATTTTTTTCTACAGTGATTCAATCATGAGCTAAATCCAATCTTTTCAAAATTGGTTTAAATTTTTTAGAAGTGAGACCAAATCAGAAACGATTTAGGAAATTCCTAACTGAGGTGACACTTTTCAAAGCAGATTCAAAACTGAGTCTGAACTTTTCTGCTGAAATGAGTTCAAACTTTCGAATAAGTCATCAACATTTTTCTATCTAAGTCTAAACTTTTCTGCTATGTTATTCAATCCTTTTTAAAGTTTTCAAAGCTTCCCTGAAGTGATTCAACAAATCCCGAGTCCAATCTTTAAAGAATTGGTTTCGCATTTTCTGAAGTGAGGCAACATTAGCTGATTTAATCCCTTTCCTTAATGAATCAAAGGTTTCCTGCATTGATTCAACTTTTTCCGAACTGTTCTTAACTGCTTTGGCATTTGGCAAAGACACAATCTTGTTTAGGTCATCTAGTTTTCTAACACTTTATGAGCTTAAATTTTCCAAATGGAGTAACATCTTTTCTGAAGTGGTTCATAACCTTCTCTAGGGAGTCCAAACTTTTCTGTTGAGTGATTGAATTTTATTTAATGTTAGTCTGAACTTTCCTGAAGTGATTTAACTAAGTTTTAGCGTAGACTCCGCTCCTTTAGACCCCTTCCTCGTTCTTGTGAGATTCACATACTTTGAAAATCAGGCTGAGAAATGGAAGAATGGACCTTCGTGTGTTCATACCGGATACTAGATTGTTTTAAGCAAGTACAATTGTTGAGAATAGTGGGTTTACATCCACAAAAGTACTATTTTTATAGAAATTTGGGTTTCTTGATCAGCCAAGATGGATTTTGGCTCTGTCCTTTGAAAAACAGGCTT